CACCGCTGTCCTCCGGTGTGTGTGGAGGGGATGTCCCGCTGCTCTGTGCTCCCGAGTGGCATCTGCTGGGCTGTGGGAAGTGCTGAAGGGCGGCACAGATGAGGTTCTGTAGCAGAACCCCGGCCTGCAGTCGGTGCTCCGAGGAGATGCAGCCGTCTCCCCACTTCACGCTGTTCCTAAGTTAGCGAGTCCTGCAGAGTGCCCAGTGTAGGTACAGTTAAATGTGGCGCTTCTGCCTTTAATGAGGGATTAAAGAAAACTGCTGCCAGCTATATATGTGAATTCATAGCTTGACTGTTCGCTTTTCATTTTTTAGGAGCTTTTTGTTCAGTATTTGGCTTCATACTCCTACAAACATGGCAGAGGCAAGGAGAAGAATGCTCTCACTTACAGCGACCTGTCCCATACTGCAGAAGAGTGTGAGACGTTTCAGTTCCTTGCAGGTACCTATAGCACAGTGCTAAATCCAGCATGTCATTTGGAAAGTGAAAACTTGCTCTTATCAAATTATTTTGTAAGGACACAAGTCTCTTGCTGGTCATTAATCTCTATAACATTCAACTAGAACACAAACTACATCACTGAAAAAGTGTCTTTGTGAACGGGGATTTTTCTGGTGCCTACAAATTATACAGGGCTAATTAATTCTCAGCATATTGCCTGAAGCATTTCTGAAATTCCAGCCACTCCATCTGTCAGCTTATAAAATGAGATCACTGTAAGAAGTTATGGGCTCCCAAAGTTACACATTTAAATCCAGAAGTCTTGGTTCTCAAAGTAATTTTTCCTACAAGTTCCTTTGTGTTTTTATGTATAACATATATACGAAGACACATGTGCATGTGCACACATTTTTTACTGATATTTAGGTATCTGATGTAACACTTGGCTCACAGAAGGTATGAGCATAGGTTCTAGGTGGAGAATAAAATATTCCCAGCCCAGTCCTTCTCTGGGTTCCCTGGGGATGTACTTTCAGAGCACACAGTTCTGCACTGTCTCAGGCCCGTCATTACTGCCCTGAACAAGTGTCTTACTGCAGAAAACCCGTTCCTGCAGGACACGAATGGGGTAGCTGGCTTGCTGCAGCTGTCTGAGGCACTTCAGTAGCTGAGCACTCTGCTTTACATCAAATAAACAATGTACATGGACAGAGAGTAATGACAGTTGCCAGTAATCAGTCATAACTTATATTCCTTGTCTCTGGTTACTCCCACCAGAGGTGGGTAATTCCCTCTCGTGCTTCCTGCTGTATATGTCAGACTAACTCACCTGGCTATTCACTTAACTCCTGTTTTTTAACAAACCTTCTTTTCAGCTTCATTTCATTAGTGGTACAACTGCAACAGTATTAGTCAGGCAATACAAGTATTCAAAATTACTATAAAAGAAACAATTCTGCCTTCCAGATATCTTGCCAAAGAAGATCCTAGCTAGCAAATACCTAAAAATGCTTGAAAAAGAAAAGCGAGATGGAGACATGGGGGAAGATGATGAAGAGGATGGGGAGGAAGAGGATGAAGATAGAACTGTTGGTGAAGATCTTGGGTCTTAAGACCAACAGAGACTTGCTTCATAGCTGATGTGTTTTCTATTGTAAAAAGGATGTTATTTTTGTGACTGAATCCAGGTGCTGGATATATTTATATACTGAGCCACACGCTTTTGCTTTGTTTAAGAAGGTAGAAACTGAACTTGTTGAAGAATGGAAATCTTCCCTCAGAAACATGTCGGGGCCAGAAGAGCTAATATAACTCTGATAGCACAACTTGCTCGGATGATTTAATGTGACTTTTTCTGACAATCATTGCCCAAATTGAAAAATTTATTACGAGCAGCTTCCAGTCCAAAAGCTCTTTCACCCTCTAGCTAGAAGGGTGTCCTTCCCCAGTGTCTGTTTCTCCCCAGAGCGGAAGGTGAGGGGAGGGGAGGTGTCTGCTGTCCTTGGCTTTCTCCTCCTTGGGGAGCCAATAACCTACCAAAACCTCCCTCGGTTTTCTGGAACAGTGCCAGGGCATTAGCAGTGGACCAAGCCCATTAAAAAAGTCTTCTGTAAAAGCAGCTGCTTGTGTCCTGCAGCCCGAGTGGCTGTGTCAGCACAGAACGGGGCAGAGGGTGAGGCCCAGTCCCAGTGTTAACGTGGTTCTGCTGCTGTGGTGGCAAACAGGACACGTGTTAGATGGCAGTGTGAATATGTACAGCTGGAACCTCTTCCTCTAAGGAACTCCACTTCTGCAGTTTGTCCATGTCCTGCCAAAATGCACAGTGAACTTTGGGTTGTTGGGAATAAGCGACCCTCTTACCATTTGAGTGACAAAGCTGGATGTTACTTTCTTTTTTTTTTTTTTTTTTAGTTATTTTTTTTCTACTATAGAAATGGTAACTGTGGTGTAGAACTTTATATGCAACTTTTTAAAATAAACATTTTGTATGAAATGTGACAGTCGATGCAGAGACTTTCTCTAGTTCTTCCCAGCTTCAGCCACGTCCTTGATCAGCACACAAGCCCAGCAAGCTCATCTTTCCAGGAAGGAAAGAGGGGAAAAAGGCAAAATGGTGTTTGAATGGCATCTGTCAGCAATACCAACCAGATCTGAGCCTGGTGTGAGTGCCTCAGTTGTGTTGACCAGCAGGCTCAGCAGATACACAGCTGATGATTCCACAGTGTCCTGGTCAGTCAGTTAGAGGAGAGAGCAAGCTGTCACCCTGGGGGTGAAGAACACCCCAAGAACGTCAAGGAGCAAAACCTCCCACTCCAAAAAGCTGGGCAGCAACCTGCCCTAAATCACTGAGGAAGGGAGATGTCTCAAGCAACACTGACTTGGACAGCATGGTAGAGAGTCACCTGGAAGCTGTCCTCCCTGTCAGGACAACACTAACAGCTTCTCTTAGGCTGAAGGCAAAGCCCACTGACCTGCTCTTGAAAGGCAAAGCAAAGGCTGTAGCAGCTCCATCAGCTGCCACACACCAGACTCATTCTAAGAAAGCAAAACCAGGCAAGGCCAGAGACTGGCAGAGGAGTAAAGCTACTGTGCCACACAAGAAGTGCTCTTATTATTTTAAAAGATCAAAGTGGTGTGCTACCCACCCAAAAAAAAAAAAAACATTCCCAAAGTTACCATAAATCAGCACTGTATCAGGAACACTGCAGTGGGTGCTAAGTGATGCTTCATCCCTAGAGAGATTCCTAAGTGGTTATGCAGAACTGTACCATTGTTGAAAAGGTTGTTTGGTGGGTTGTTTTTTTTACATACTATTATTCAAAGTTCGTGGTGATGTGTGGGAAAGTGAGGGCTGCCTGGGGCAAGGAGGTTGCCTGCAGCAGGGTGTGTGAACTGTGTAGCATTGCCCAACACTTGGTGGGTTTAGGACTTGCCAGCTTTTTGGGGGGAAAAAAAAAACAAACCCCAAACCACCACCTGCTTGTCCTCTAGTGCAGTGTTGTGGGAGTTTGTACTGTCAACAGGGTAGAGGGCAATGAGGGAAATGAGATCACTGGTGACCCCTAACCCACTGGCCCCCACAGCAGTCATGTTGAACATGACAGAGGCACAGCCTGAGCCCAGAGCTGGTGTGTGCAGGGGTTAACTCACCAGGGCCAAACAACACCTGGCCCACAGCTCTGTCAGGTGGGTCACAGCTGCAGAATGCAGTAACTTCAACAGCCCTGGGCACCTGCTTTGAGGGACACACACATTCCCAGGGAGATCAGATGTGCAGAGTAACCAACACGGGGGCCACTAGTGTAAGACTTCAGGTGACACATCCCAGCCCCCCTGCAGCACACCTCTGCCTCTTCCAGCAGGTCAAAAGCCACGTTCTCAAGCTGTCACAAAGCTCCAGCTCCAGACTGCATCATTTAACATCACCTTCCTCAGGCTGGTCCAAGGGTGACTGAGGAGCATGTGAACTAAACAAAGCACCCCAATTGTGTCCTGCTCTGCAAGTGACCATTTGCCTAACAGCCACTGGATTCTACAGCTGACACAACTGGGAAAGCTGGAAGAGTGCTTGCATCAGACGTCTCCCTTTCCACCTCGGGGCTGTAGTCCCCACCAGCACCAAGCTCTCCATTGCTGTTGAAGGTCTCAAGCAGATGGGGCACGGCTTGGGCCTCTGTGGTTCCTCTGCTTTGCCAAAATTGCCCCTTCTGACTTGGAAGGACTTTCTTTTTGACTCCTGCCAACCTTTGAGGTGAGGAGCTTACTGTTCAAGCACCATGCATCAAAACTGTAAGAACTTCAGCCACACACACAGTGTCTTCCTACACCCAAAGGAGGAACAGGCAAATCCATGATGCCAGGCATTGTTTTCTTTTTTTCATCCCCTTCTATTACTAGCTTATGAGATCCTTCCCCGCCAGCCAAGGCTGCTCAAAGGACACAAAAGTTCCTAAGCTTGCAAGAAGACAAAAGAACTGTGGTTACCAAGTATAAATCAGCATATTTCATCCCTCTTAGAAGCTTCCTGTGGGATGAAGAACATACTCTGTCAATTAGTGAGGCCTCAAGAACTTGAACACCCTTCGGGATTCATTCAGCCGGAGTCCTCGGTGGGGACTTCAGAGCTGCCAGAATTTGCCACAGCCATCTCCAGGGCCATGCACATGTCAAAGCTTGTTGCCTTCAAAACCAGTAAGTGGTATTTGTTTTCCCCAAGAGCTTGACACAGGGCAAACCCACATCCAATTCAAAGAAGTACTCCAAAACCAAGAGGAAAAACAAAAGCTCTGTCTGACATGAAAGAGACAGCTGTGACTTCAGAGTCATAAAATCCCTAAGACTGGAAAAAACCTCTAAGATCATCAAGTCCAACCATCAAACCAACACTACCAGGACTACTAAACCATGTCCCCAGGTATCACATCTCCCTGTTTTTTGAACCCCTCCAGGGATGGGGCTCCACCACCTCCCAGGGCAGCCTGGTCCAGTGCCTCACATTTCACCACGCTTTCAGGAAAGAAATTCTTCCCAATATCCAATCTAAACCTCCCCTCATAAAGCCCATTTCCCATCCTGTCGCTAGTTACTTGGGAGGAGAGCAACACTCACCTCACTCCAGCCTCCTTACAGGGAATTGTGGAGACCAACAAGGTCTCTCCTCAGCCTCCTCTTCTCCAGCCTAAACCAGCCCACTTCCCTCATCTGACATGTTCCCCAAACTTGAAACATCTGAAACACTCCCAAGTGGTGTCACGCAAGGGAGGGCAGTGGAACTAGAACCTTTTGGCTCCTGGGCAACCAGAGAACTTCTCTCATCACAAAAAAAAAGCCTCTAGACCAGCACGTTTAATTAATGATGACGACTTGACTGAGCAAATTTTGGTGTAGCTCAAAGATCCCTAGCTCCAGTACAACCTCCAGTCTGCCACTGGGGCCTGTAACAACTGTTCCTGAGCCACAGACTGGAGCAATCAGTAATTTCAGATTCAGTTCTGGCCTCTGACAACAAGAAAGACACAGCACCAATTCTACAATGCAACTGCTGTTTACACCTTTTACCCACATCCTGGGATCTTTTTTTTGGTGGCTGTCAGCAGCTCCCTGCTCAGGAGATGTCCTCCCACTGCTCTTCTGTACTTACTAGGGACAGTTAGGCCACGAATACGTCCTGCTGCATGCTCACAGTCTCAGTGTGCCAGTAACTGCAGCAAATGGCCAAACTAGCTAACTAAAAACAAATAAAAAGGCATCAAACAAAAACTTGTAAAGATGAGGAAATTTATTTTATTGACATACTATGAGGCAAAACAAAATTGACACCATACAAAATAACTTTATAAAATATCATTCACATCATTATTTTGTCAGGAATTACAGCATTCTGAGCTTGTTACAAGTCTTCTGTTTTGAGGTGAAAAACACTACGCTAAATCTTTAGTATTAGTTGTATATATACAGTAAGAAACCAAAACAGAAACTGTTAGGTTTTTCATGAGTTTATTGCAAAAGTAGTGCAAACTATTTTACCTTGCAAGCTGTAAAACAAACTTGGAAAAGGACCCACCTAAGCTTAAAAACATGACAATAAATGCTCAATTTCACAGCCTTAGAAGCTTCCTTCAACAGTTCTCAGCAAAGAAATTCCCCATCTCTGCACATTTTCTCCTTTTTACTGACTCAGAAGCCTGGGGGATGATGCTCCCACAGGGCAGGACGGGTCCTGCTCCAACCCGGGGTGCAGTGTGGCCGAGCCCGTGGCCCCCCACATCTCCATCACCCCAAAACATCGCCCAGCAGGGCAACCTTGGTCAGTCTGGTTCTCCTCCATTAATAAGCTGCCCCCCTCCACATTCATATTTGAGAAAAGAGTCAAGAAAGCAGTAAGAGCAAAAAAAAACACCGCAATACTAGAGGATGAGGAACACATATTGTCTGTTTCAGAAGATAGCATCCTTTCCCTGAAGTCCAGGTAAAGTGTATTCCCTCGTGGTGCCCCTCCCCTGGTGTACACAAGGCAGGGTGACTCCCACCCCCCCCCTGCAGAAGCCCAGGAAGGATACTACATTCCATGAGAGCGGGAGAAAGCGACGCTCGGAAACGCTACCAGGGTCCCCCCAAAGCAACACAGGTAGCTAGGAATCTACTGAAAAAAAAATTAAAAATAAAAGCAAACAACTGCTACATGAAAAATGTTAAAGGAAGGAACAAAATGCAGCATTTTCAGGCTC